GAAGCATCCAAAGAGAGACCATGAAGTGTGGAACTAAAAAATAAAATATCACACCTCAGCAGGAGACTGTACCATATCTGATCCAGGTATACTCTTTGCTTTTTTATGACTGTGTCATGAACATAAAAGGTGGAAAAACATGAAGGAATCCCATAAAACATATTATCTATTAATGTGACTGCTAGGTGTCAAGTGGCTAGGGTGCAAAAGACTACAGTGATAGTTCGATCTCATCTAATACCTGGCAGCATCTGGAATTGTAAATCAGTTTCGCAGTAGGCAGAAGATCACCTACTTCTTCACCTTGAAACAGGAATTGGTAGGGAAGACAAGCTTCTTCACTTGCCTGCATTTCCAACCTAATCAACACCTGATCCACCACAAACCAACATCCAGCAGATGGTAGGATGGTGGAAATTCCCAGTGGGATGACATCTCTGGTACAAAACCAGGCAGCATTGGGTATGTTTCTTCCAGTCCATAGTAGGAAGAGGGACAGCAAACCTGGGGTGCATCTTCAATCCAAAACCTGGTGGTATTGGGCATTTTTCATCCAGTTTGCAGCAAGAGGAGGGATACTGGCTATTACACACATGAGAACTTATTTAGCTGAACCATCTACAACCAACATCTGACCCCCTGGGAACCACATCTCAGCCTGAGGAGCAAACTGCAATATATATATATATATATATATATATATATAGTTGCACATTGAGATGTGTAGCAAACACATCCACATCTGGAATACCACAATGAGCACACAACTCACAAAACACCACTCTGTCGAGAGAATCTTGTTGGGCTGAGATAATCAGTCCACGACCAGATTCATGGCACCCGGAATATGACACGCTAACAATCTGATGTGATGATTGTGAACTCATTAGAAGAAATTCAACATTTGGAAATGAAGATCTCATGATTGGGTACCTCCTTGCCTGGAATTATCTGAGTGGACCATCACAGAATGCCCCGAAACATCTCACAAAAAGTGAAGCAGAGCACAATGTCCCAAAAAAAGATAGGTCTCTTGTGCAGTAGGATATGGAGAGGCTGATAGACTGTGAATGAGACAATCCATATCCCATAAAAGAAAGGAAGAAGAACACACTCAGATGAATCAGATATTGTGTGGGTGTGAGAAACGACTTTTCCACTTTGATGAGCCAACCTACTCTGGCAGCCTCTTGAAGAAGAAACTGAGTATGAACAGCAAATTTGACCAGAGAGGAAGCCAAAAGTAGCCAGTTGTCCAGGAAATGGTGGAAATGAAGGCTTCTGGCATGAAGCAGTCAAGTGAACGAGCAGTCTACTAAGCAGAATGTATAAGGAGCCGAGGCCAGGCCAAATAGTAGAGCTCGAAACTGGTAAATACACCCCTGATAAACAAAACAGAGGAAATGCTGGGAAGCCTTGTAGATAGTAATGTGTAGATAGGCATCCAACATGACAACCTTCACCATCCACATTCCGAGAGTGAAAATCCACCAAAGGATTAAGTAAGAGTCCATCATGAATTTGGTTATGACCAGGAAATGGTATAGGGATGATAAATCTATAACCATTTGCCAATCTCTAGTCTTATTGAGTACAATGAACAGATGAGAAAAAACCCCAGCTGAGAAGGTTCCCCAAGTTCTATGGCCTCTTTCTGAAGTAAGTCCTGAACTGCCTCCTATAGGTGCTGGTGAAAAACAGGATCCCTTGGTGGGGGGAAGGCAATGGGATAAGGAGACAATGGGGGGAGGAGGAGAATGAAAGAACCTGTAGGACTCATTGTAAATGGTGTCCACAAATAACAAACATGGAAGAGCCTGGCCCCAACTCTGGGGCCAAGTCACAGATGCTGTAGTAATATCAAATGCCTTCGAGTAACAACTTGACTGCAAATGGATGAAGGATGAGAAGCCGTGACCAGCAAAGGGTTGGACAGGGAAGGGCAAGACACAGAAACAGTAAGAGGAGGTTGGGATAAACAGGAAGTTAATGAGGATAATGAATTATGTAGATGAGCAGACTCAACTTTCGATTTCCAATGAGTCAGGAAAGCCCCCAAACAACTCTTTACGTAAAAAAGGTGCCATGTGCAAATCACATAGGAAAATAGTGGGTAAACATACTCAAGAAAGAATGACATCCCAACCCAGTCCCAACAGCATATCAGCCAGTTCTGAAGAGCCAGAGCTGAAAATGAAAAGCATGCCATTGTAGTAAACAGAAGATCGCAAACATCATCTGAAAACCCTTCAGAAGACAAGTGGATTGCCGGAGCCAGCAGTTAAACAGTCAATAATGTAAGCAGAATTGTGGACAACATCAGTCTGAGACAGGAAAATTGGGGTTTGAGAAAATCACCAATGCATTATGGTTCATCCCCGTAATGTAATGAGAGATTTCAAACATTGGGAATCAAGATAAGGGAAGAAAGATCTGTAAAATGCATAAGCATGATCTTCAGACGTACGAGGCAGACAAGGCATATTAACCCTCCAACTGAAGTTGATCCCCAAAATGCTGAGCATGAACCCCAACATCAGGTGAGGGAAGGAACACTGAATACTGGCCCATAGATACTTCACCAAGGAGGGCAGGCTGAGAATCATAGGAAACAAGAGATAAGGATAAGACAGCACAAACCTGATTAATGGATTCCACAAAGGGTGAAGGAGGTCTGGGTAAATCCCCTGATATCAATCACTTGTGACTGGGAAGCATATTAGGAGGGGGGGATAGGCTGTTCAAATTCTTGCTCTCCCTCTCAGACACCCCAGGAGCAGACATGACAGAGTATTCCTTGTGTGGTAGTGAAGGTTGCATGAACATGGACATTTCTTGCCGACTGGGAAACCCGCGGCAAGTATAACACGCTCCTATTGGTGGAGAGCTGCTGCATAATCATTTAACTGTCAAGGTAGATATCCAGAAGTGGAAGGCTAGTGGCGAGCGTTGAAAATTTGCACTGATAGAGAGCAGTACTGATTGAGAAAAGCTATTTTGTGAGGTAGGTAAGATATCATAGCGAAAATCACTTATTATATTTTCATTTGTAAATTATCACATGGTTATAAAATTGGCATGACTGAGTGTATAAAGAATACTGCCTTGCAAGTGTTTGCTCCACACTCAGAGTTACCAATTCCAGACATGCGAGTGCCCGTCACAGCTTTCACTGGGATACAAATTCAGGAAAGTTAGAGGTATGGTATTACAAACATTAAACAAAACAGTTATGCAAATTATAAATTACAATGTAAAACCAGTAATTTTACACCTTATTCAACATTAAAAAAATAAAGTTTTGCAGCTATAGTTTACAAACATAGCACAATGTAAAAAACAAAACTCGGTAAATTTACACTTCACTTAACACCAAGTCTCCCAAAAAGTTGGTGGTTGCCTTATTACATCTACCATAACTTATAAACAAGGAAATAAATATAATGCCCCTGTGGCTGAAAGGATGGGCAAGTTTGATAACAAGAAATAAAATACAAGACCTTTAAATAATAAGACAACATCCCTAATTACCAGGTCTTATTGACCCAAAGCTGAACAAACTTGAATTAATCAAAACATTATAATGAGAAATCAGATATGATAATAATCACAAACCCTTATTTTGAATAGTTAATTATTTTCATTAGTCATAATTCTAGTGATTAAGATGAATAAACCTGAATTAATCAAGAAGATAACAATGAAAAATTACAGTGACAATATTTTGATTAGTTGAATAGTTTTGTTACATTAAACAATTTAATTATAATTAAGTTGATTATTTCCATGACACTAATTAATGTAATTGATGCTCACAGTAAATGTATTATATTAATCAAGTTAATAATTCAACTATAGCTGTCATATGGATGCTATACAGAAAGATAAACTGTAACAAGACATTTTATAGAAGAAATACAGCTGCTAAATGACCACCCCCACCTCACCCCCCAGGTTTTATCATAACACAAAACAAGCAGCTACTACATATAGTATTTTGGTAGTGTGTGTGTGTTTTTGTAATACAACTTGTGTTTAATTAATGGGCAATTATACAAACCAAAACATAAAATTTTCCATGTAAGTGGCGTATAATATTACATTACTATTCAAACATTGTCAAACAGTTTTTGTTAAGAACAGAAAAACGAAACCTGACAACACCAGGCCTGATAAATCTTCAGATGTTTAGAACTATCTTCAAATTCCTTGCAAGCAAATGAATTTTTGAATACATAAGAACTCATAACTACAGCTACACTGTAATGTGGCACTTTGAGTGCTTCTCATGACATTATTGAAGTGCAACTGTAACATCAGTATTTTAAGATAACACTCATTTTTAATCATCACAAGTGAATGACAAATGTTATATTAAATAAAATTCTCAGATTTTTGTATTTCTCTATAGTCATATAACCAGTATATGTTTTAAATTCAATTGAAGATTTAGTTGCCTCATATAGTACAATTACAATGTCCAAAATTTGATACCCAGAAAAAAAAAAACTACAATAATTATGTACATCTTACGGTAAGTTTCTAGAAAGAGTAAAACCTGTAGTTATAAAATATTTCATTATCAAATTTAGGTTTTCTTACTGCCTCAAAAAATATGTTATCTCGCATTACCTTATATCTCCTATGTATACCACTCCATGTAAAAATTTGTTCATATAATACAAATGAAACTATCAATAAGAAATAAATTATTACATTTACTTTCTAAATTTTCCTTTTTGAAATTAATCATTATCAAAGGTATATTCAAAATATGATCTTAATTACATTGTACTTGTATATTTGATATAATAATGGAAATACAATGATTTTGTTACATTAAAATAAACAAAAACCCTAAATGTAAGTACAATGAAAACTCAGATTACAAACTTTTTATAACCTAAGAACAGTTCCTTACTTCAAGCTTAAAAACACCTGTTGATTAAAGTAACATACCTTATACATACAAATTATAATTAATTTAGAAAATGATGTACCTGAAGTGTACTAAAATGTTTATCACTGAACTTGTTTTCCACGTACTGCAAAACTAATGATGTTTTACCAACACATCCTTCTCCCAGCAATACCACTTTGAAAGAATGGCTACGACCACCTGCCATATCTTTTTGTAGTAAACCTTAAAAATCTGTAACCAACAGAATAATATTTCATAAAATAACAACCAAACTGAGTACTCCAGACACATCTGTAAATGATGTAATTTAAAACTGAAAGGCTTACATGTGTAACATATACTTACTTGAAAGAGATGAACTTATAAGAAAGAGATTTCAGTGATTTTTAAAAATATATTAGGCCTACAGCATTATTTCATGTACCAACATACATACAGATTGCATCCTAGAAGACTTACTGTAAATATATTGCACATACAAAAACCTATAGTACATGCTGTTTTACTGAGGAATACATCACAAACTGATTTAATAAACATATGTACTTGCACAATGCATAAAAATCAAAGAAATTAATTTAAGTTACCTTGACATATTTTTTTGTTGTTGTTACAATAATGACATTCTAGTCAGGATTCAAATAAAAACTCATAAACTGAAAAAACATGAACAAAAGTCAGTGACAGTATAAGCTCTTTTTGTAACCAATAGTATTTAGTTCTGAATAGGCTTATCAGTTAAACATAAACATCATTGAATAAAACATATCGAGAATAAATATATTGAATTACTAATGAACACCAAAAATAACAGACAAAAACACAAATTTTTGAATAAACCCAAAGATATGGATAAAATAATACTCATTACACTTTATTTTATACTGGGGAATATAAAAGTTAACTATTTAATTGCTATACTTCTGATTGATGAGTGGATGGCATGCATAATAATACAAAAGCAATATATTTATCTTTACAACCTCTTGGGAGAGAAAAAAATCTCAAACTAAACTGAAAAAATTTAAATAAGAAATAGAGTAAATTAAATGCTTTTTTAAAAATCTGATTGTAATTTTTCTATTATTATTTTTTCCACATACTTTATATGAATACATTGTATAGACTAAGAATCTTCACTTACCCTTCAATAGTAAAGACATTAGTAAAGATTTTTTGACTCTTTGGTGATAAGTCAATCACCTCATTTTGTTAATCAGACATTACTTGTGTACAGTAAAAAATATACTGTGTTTCAATAGAACATTGGTCTGTCTTTTTAATTTAAGTATATTATATCAGGTATATTTTTCAGTGTATATTATATACCTGAACTTGAAGAAGATAGACCAATGTTCTGTTGAAACATGAACTTGATGAAGTATGTTCTCTACATAACATAATTTTAACTATGCTTATAAAATAAATCATTATTTGCCAATTTACTATTATCTAATCAGACATTAATATTATTATTTGCATTAGTTACTACTACTGTAATAAATATTAATATAGTTAATAATATTATTTACATAATCTGATACCATCACCACTCTTGAAAATTGTAAATGAAATTAGCAAACAGTAATTTTCAAATGATTTGTTATATTTTGGGGTATGTATGTCATAGTTTAACTTTAAGAGTTAAGAGCCTAAATTATCAAGAAATTCTAGTACCTTTATTACTATTACTAACGTCGTGTTCTTACCATAAAATTATACACTAGCTATAAACTATACTCAACTCAAGTGTATTTGAAGAATACAATGGAATAGTCGCAGATTCTATACTGTCTTCTTTCTAAGAAGTTCTTATATTTTTATAAATCTTCACTGCCCGTGACAATGCAGCTTCGATGTTAATCATTAATGTTATCAACCCTTGTCTCGGGCTTTTCAGTTAACTAGCTTGATCAAAATTTTAAATTATGATCTTAATTTGTAGTCCTGTTACTAACTAATATTATTTGCAGTTTTAGTAACTATTATGAAAATGTACACTAACACTCAACAATAACATTAAGGCAAACCTAAGATTAGTTAGACTGAGTAAATCAGTACGTTACAGATGTGAAAAGCCTTGGCTTGAGTCGAAATGCCTAGCATTGCAATATGCAATAGCACAGTACTTAGTAACAATACTTTGTTATTTTAAAAACTATAAGTTTTCTTATCATCCTATGTTTTGACCATCTTTTTTTTTTTAACTTTAGCTGAAAATTATTTACTTTTACTGTACCACGATACTATAGATCAAATACAAGTAAATTCCGACGTGAGCACTTACCCGAATACCCGAACCGAACGGATATGAGAAAAGGAGAAACGCTGTTATTAAGTGTATATTGGAATAATCGAACAGTACATGTAATACTAGTATTTCATATTCATATATAACAGTGGTTCTCAACGTCGCCACGCCATATTTCTCACGGGACACACGTGAATAACGGAAAATTAGGGGGCCACAGATATTCTGAGTGGGCCACCGAAATTTCACTGCCCGAATAAAATATTTAAAATTGAATCAAAGGTTCCCTTCTTCCCGTATTCCCCCACAGCTCAGAAGTCAAGTTACCAGACGCGACTAGTACTCGAGTAACAACAAAAATGTTTGTTCCAGAGCCTCTACCAGTGCTCTATAGTTGTGTCTGTCGGCTGCTGTCAACTGTCCAAGTATTTCCAGTGGTTGTCCCTTCAAGCTCGTTGCCAGATATACAGCTTTCTGCTCCTCTGTCCATCCATTCATCTCTGCCAGTAGCTCAAATTGTGCTCTATATGCTTCCCACGATGCCTTCCCATTGAATTCCTGTGGCTTCCTACGCACTGGATCACTCCTATTACTGACATTCATATCTGGGATGTGACTTCTAACGGGCTGAATATGTCTGCATTAGGGTTTAGCTGCAGGGTCTGGAAGTG